ACACCCTGGTGCTCAGGAGCAACCAGTCCTGGCTCAGGGGTGTAAATGGTGCTACCGCGCACACCAAAGATGTGGCATGCAAAGTGGAGATCTGAAAGCACATGTGCCAAACGTCCAATGGCGTGTCATCTGAAAATTGTCCACTCAACGAAGTATGGCATATCAGAGACTGCTTTCATCCGTCGCGCCTCATATTCGAAGTTCCCGAAAAGAGGCTCGCCTTCTCCTATATCCAGGATGTTCTCCACTCCGAAGACGTCGAAGTTGGGGTCAATGGAGGGCAATTGGATTCCTTTGCTCTCCTGCCCAAATCTTTGAATGTACTACTTGGCACGCCTCACCCTTCTCATTCTGAAGCCTTCTCGTCCCATTCCTGAAGCTGCTGAAGCACTTGGCGCCATTCCTTATCACAAGAGGCATTCCCTTTACTATGAAGGTTCTGGCTTAGGCTGACCACGAGTCCAGACTCTAGACGGTCCGAGCGTCGTCGTATGCTTGACGCCATTCGCGGAGCTGTTTCTGCCACTTGGCCCAATCCGCCTGTGCAGGTAGATGCTTGTCAATATGCTGAGGCGCTGCTGGGTATCTTCCATGTTGCAGGGGCTTGGGAATGAGGTCCCGCTCATCACTCGAGGAACAAGAAAACCATCCCCCACGAACGCATGTGCGTTGACGGGCTCTCTAAAAATCAGAACCTCCATCAAGATCCATAGAATAACCAGACCGAACAGCTCCGGAAGTCCAACCCCCAACCTCACCTGCCCATTGCTACTTGATGCTGCTCTGGTGGTTAATTAGTAGGGAATTAGGGAAGGTAATCCCTACGTAAACCCTTTCTAACATACTTCTCTTATTCCGTGCTACGCAACCCTAGACCCTAAATTCTAGTCTCCATTTTCTTGTCCATTATCCCTATAGAATCCCCAAACAGTATATCCGCCTGTTCCCTATGCTACCCCTCTATAGTCCCTATAAAACCCTAAATTATACACCTATATTCCCCTTATTCCCTAGTAACCCCAAACCCTAAACCCTAAACCCTAAACCCTATACCAGTATCCTGCCTGGAAGGCCGGCCCTGGCTCAACCGGATCATAGTCGGACATCTCCCAGAAGCCCTGAAAACAAGGTAGAGGGTTTAGGGTTTACAGGGTTTAGGTTTTTTTTTTTACAACGGCTCAGGGTTTAGGGTTTAGGGTTTAGGGTTTACAGGGTTTTATCGGGCTATAGCCTAAACTCCTAGTATCCCCCTTAATAACCTGTATTCTACTGCCCTAGATAATCCCTCCCCTATATAATCCGAATATAACCCCCTCTAAGGAGTTTAGACTATAGCTGACATAGGGTCATATAAGGATAATGGAAAGAGAATGGAAACTATGATTTCAGCACGCGCGCCGCTCCAAGCAGGCAGCCTTACTTTCAGGAGTAGAACAAGAAAGGGGCTTTGTCGGGGTATACAGGGATTACATGGGGGTTATGTAGGGATTGTATACAAGAACATGGAGACACGGGAGTAGAAATGGCCATTTAAGGCTAGTATATCCTCGTACAGTCGCAGACGTAACCAACGAAAAGTAAAGTAACACTGACAGAAGTGGACAGCATGAAACCTATCGGCATGGTGGCAAGGGTAGCAGTTGTCGTGCTGATGCCAGCTCAAGAAGTAGTCACTAGTCCGCCTTGACTGTTCTAAAAAGTTTTTGCACCAGGTAAGAACATTCTATTGTTGTCACGCCACCCCCTCAACTCAAAACGGCACTCCACAAGCCAAAGGTCCCTCTTTTCCCACAATGCCGGCTTCCCTTGCCCTCTTTCCTTCCACTCCCTTCTTGCTCCTGTCCTGATGCCCATCTTCCGACATGTTCTCACTTGTTTCGCGCTCCCCCCTCCCTCGCTTCAGCACTCGAGGCGACCTCAACACTTTCTTCGCTTCCAGTTGAGTGTCTGAAACCTGAGTTGGTAGGAGCTCTTGACCGGCATCTGCCTTGAGTTGCCTGACCCAATCCACGAGGATCTTCTGATCACTAGGTCTGGCCTGCAAAACGGTGCCGGGCCATTGAGAGCAAAAGCCTGCACAAGATGAGGTAAACGCTTCTGCTCAATCCCTGTCCACACTCATGTCCAAAGACGTTAACGGAG